CTGCAGGCGTAGCTGGGTTGGCAGTACTGTGCTGAGCAGCACCATGGCTCAGACAGGGAGAAGCATGGCATTTCGCTGCCCTTGCTCCAACAGGTGTCCTCTGCAGCGGGGCGGACAACAGCCTCCCGGCTTCCTTTACCAGAAACCGTCCAAGAGGGCTGTTTGCTGACGTCTCAACTCCACGCGCTGCACAGAGGCCTCGTTCCAGTCTGGTGGCAGCAGGTCCCACAGGACGCCCCCAGGAAGGCAAATACAGTGGATACACACATCTGTTTGCCGAGTGCCACAAGGCCCCCTTTTCTCACTGTCACCTCATCCATCTACAGGTGACACCTGCCTGGTCTTACGCAGTTTACAAACTCGATCCAAGAACTGAGCGTCCCTACCCGCTGACTGGTGATCAGTTCTGGGAGTGCATCTTTTTGCCTGAGAATTGGCTGCTTCTTAATTCTTCTTAGTCACAGATGATTTAGGGAGGGGAGAGGAAAAGTGCATCTTCATCCTGCAACAGTTATTTTTCTCCACGTTAAAGGGATGCAAGGATTGGGGAGAGAGATAAATTTGTCAGTGTGTGCGTGTCTGCGAGAGATGGCCATAAACAAATAAGGTAAAAAACAAGCCCGTTTCCTTATTTTCCACTCCCTTGCCAGTAATTAACTGTACACTGACATTTTTTCTACCTAATGGTAACGATGCAGGCAGCACTTGAATTTTCTTTACGTATTTAATGTAGGCAACAAGCCTTTGTTTTTGGAGTGATCTGTAGACGGAGCTAGTTTTCTGTGACTGTTCTTGTAAAGTTCTGGTGCCAGCCTTTGCCCGTGGAAAAGGAGGACATAAATACATGGCTTGGCGGTGGCAGCTGTGATTTTCTCCATGGTCATCTGTGACTGAGTCTTTAGACTTTGTCTAAAAAAATGCAGACTTTTTTTAAAATGGACAGATTCTTGGGCCTGGCAATCTGGGAGACAGTTCTAAAAGCAGAGCCAAACCCATGATGCAGAGAGATGGAAAATGGTTAGGTTGAGTGACTACAAAAATGGGCCAGAAATAGTAAGCAAACTGCAGTTTTTATTTAAGCCTTTCTCTCATTCTGGGCAAAATAGGGAAATGGGGTCTTGTGTGCAATTCTATCACAAGTCTATTTATGTTACACTTGAAAGGTGTTTTCTAAAGTCTTGCAAACAATTTGGGTACAAATAATTTGAGGATATTACTGTGAACTGAAATTGCTATTGGTGCTATCGTCATATCTTTTAGGAATTCTCAGCTAAAAATCAGCATCCCATTTTGTCTGAGAGACCAATGCTTTCTCTCCTATGTTTTATTTATCCAAATAGTGAAGATGTGCGATTTACGTGCTGTTCTATCCTCCCTCTTCTGCAGCTTGAAACTGGGATGCCTTTTTGCTTTTTTTCCCTTCAAATCTCTTGCCTCTCCAGCTGTAGCCTACAGTATCTGGCACTGCCTCTCAGATGACTCTCCTCTCCCTACTTGCTGATGCGCTGTAGCAGGCTGAAAAATGTGGATGCCAGCAAATGGCCTCCACTAGATCATGCAGAGAGCTAGGGTCACAGCTTAGTTCTCTGAATCAAATCTACTGGAGCCCTGAATTTCAACATGTCCTTTACATGTTCTCCATAAAAGAAATAGGTTGTTTCTGTAGCTTCATTATGATTAAAGGAACTCATCACATGGTTTCTAAAGAAGGAAAGGAAAGAAGGAAAGAAATGGAACTGAGCCCAAGGGCTCACAAATACCAAGGGTCACAGCTGTAAGTGCAAGGAAGCTCTAAGGTTTTATGAGCAGAGCCTTGAGATTCTGGCAGATCCAGTGCATCTTGAACTCTGGAAAGCTGCATGCTCAGGGAGCAAACGTAGGTGCCTTGAAAACTCTGTGAGCTTCAGTTCATGTTCTTTTTTTAAATTCATATTTTATTGTTTGTGCGAAGAGGGGTAAAGTACCTTTGTGTCACCCATAAGAACAGAGAAGCAGTAATTCTCTAGGTTCAAGGAACTAGTTGGTTTAATAAAACTTTAAAAACATACAAAAGAATCCTGAATTAGTAAGGATTCCCAAACTAATTTCTCTCTAAAAATGAACAAAAACTGAATTTAATCTATTGCCCTTCAAAGCGTTTAACAATTTTTAAAAGTACATGTTGTATGCAAATGCCTATTCCATTCAAAAGAATTTAAGACGTGTTTGTCCATCCCTTCTTCCAGGGACTCTTTCATATGTCAATCTCCCCCTTTTGAACTCTGGTACTTCTGCAAATCCTGAATCTGGAAAAGAAGTGGAAAGAAAATACATGTGTCATCAACTACAAATGCAACACGTATGCAGACCTCACTACGTGTTTCTCAGAAGCAGTAACAGACTATCACTTTAACCAGTATGCTCTGTACAGAAAGTATGAACTGCCATAAAACTAAATGCGTACAGATCTACATTAACTGCTGCTTACTTCTCCTGATCGGTTTTATGCGTACCGTCCTGTAACAGTAATACGAGACCTTATACAAAATATGTACATCAACCTGCACTATGCCTAACCACAACATTTCAGTACAGATTTTAGTGCTTATTTCTACCGTATCATTCTACTCAATACTATTCAGTATTGTTAATTCTTTTTAACCAGACATGTTCATGTTTCTAAATCTTTTTAAAAAGCTACTTACATTCTTAAGTTTCAAGTATTTTTACACTAAAATATCTGAGTAGTTGCTTATTCAAAATAAGTCACTGTAAAAAATTCTGTCTAGTTTTCACAAAAAGTATTGTCAGAAAACTTCAATACTGACCCAAGGATTTCATCTGTCTTTAGGGAAATACTGGCTTGGCATACTGACGTTAATTGTTTGTGGTTTAATAAAAGTTTGATCTGAAGCCTGAAGAAATTCGTAGGGGTTCCCAGTGGGTCTTTTTAATTTGACTCCGTACACGTTTCTTAAACTTGGAATTTCGTGTTTCTTAAATTTGGGACTTCAGAAGGCTTTTACTGTATTAGGATTTTTTTTGTTTGCATTAGCATACAGAACTATTTAGTATACTTAGTTTTCCCCTGGCTAGTGAATAATAAAGTAAAGTAGGCCTATTCTTCCAAACTATAAACCAGAAAGGACTTTTCCTTTTTTTGATCTGATTCAGATTTCAGTATGTCTTTGCCCTACTGGGCAAGAGTATCACAGAAAACTTATCAGTTGGAGATCGCAGTGTTTTCAGAATACTGTAAAATATGGTACACCAAGAATCTGCCCTGATCTCTACCAAAACTATTGTATTTAGAATTTTATACTATAGGTGCCAGTTACAGGTTACTGAAGTACTGTTAACTACCCAGCAATACTCCAGGTGTCAATTTTAATCCCAAAGGAGAGGCAACATGTCTGTTCAGAGTTCTGTATGAACATTTTGTAATGACAGAACAAGGGGTAATGAAAGAGGGTAGAGTCAGGTTAGGTATCAGGAAGAAGTTCTTCCTGGAGACGGTGGTGAGGCACTGGAACAGGTTGCCCAGAGAAGCTGTGGATGCCCCATCCCTGGAAGTGTTCAAGGCCAGGCTGGATGAGGCTTTGAGCAACCTGGTCTAGTGGAAGGTGTCCCTGCCCATGGCAGGGGGGTTGGAACTAGATGGTCTTCAAGGTCCCTTCCAACCCAAACCGTTCCATGGTTGTATGGTTCTACAATGATATTGATATATAGGCTGATAATTAGAAGCAGTTCACCATATCCAATTAACTTTTCCTCTCTTTACTTCCATAATTGCTTTAAGCAGCCCATGGAACGTAATATCAAGCAATTACTTGTGTTTTCATGAATGAGTCTTGTGTGATTAGTGAAAGCATTCTAATGCTGTGCTGACCTTCCTGTATCACCAAGAGATTTAACGGCAGGCAGCAACAGAGAAAACATAAATCATCTGTACTAGGCGTGAGGCACTTTATTTAAGGAACCTAACCTTGGATTTTTAAAGAATGTGGCCCCTCACCTATAGGGAAGCAGAAGAATAAAAAAAAATTACTACGATACAGGAGACAGCAATACTTCGGAATTACAAGGTATAGTGATGCTTTCTTACATCTGAGACTCCATTGATACATATTTTGGCTTATCAAAGAAGGTCTCAAGATAATTAGGGTTGAGAAAGTAAACCAGGGGTAAGAAAACTACAACAAACAAACAAACAAACAAAAACCCAAAAAAGAAGAGCCGCCTGGAGATTTTTACATAAGGACTGTCCACACTTTCAGGGTAAACAAAGTTTTGAAGTACACACTATACCATGTATTTGAAGAAACACCCTTTGGAATGATTTCAAGATGGAGAGCTTAGCGCTGGAGACATGAGCTAAAAATATGTATTCCAAGAATAACTGTATGAAAGAAACTTAGAAAGTTGTCTGATACTCTTACTCCACTAGCAAAACCAGCAAAAAACAGCCAGTAGTATTATTTATGTTTCACTATCTGAATTTGCTGAATCTACTCTCTGTCCTTTAGAGAAAATACTTTATAGTCTTTTCTTCCCCCTCTTGTCCAAACCTATGTTTAACAAAGATTCTTTCCCATAAAATAATTCTGGCACGTTTACTGTGCACATTTCAGGCACTGTCAAAGAGAGAAACAGTATTGGGAGAACTACACTTGTTAAGATTTTACCAAGGAAAAATAATGTCAGTAACACAATTATGGGTGACGTTTGGGGTTTTTTTTTAATATTCTTTATGCTCAAACCAGAAAATAAATGTTTAGGAATCTTCTATCACAGAAGAAATATATATGCAAATAAGCTTTTCAGTAAGACAAACATGCAGCTGTTGGGTTGGACTGGATTTAACAATTATTTGAAGATAATATGAAATCTAGTCTTACAGATAGGCCTGTTTCCAGTTGAGTTACTGACAGAATTTCAGCAAAATCCGCTTGTTTTGGACATACCTGTTCTATGTTTTCCTTTTGTCCGTAAGAACAGTGGATTTTGTTTTCCCTTTCCTTTAGAGTCTCTACCTATTTGGTGAAAATTTAGACTTTGAAGCTCATCTGGGTCAACAAAGAAATCAGAGAGAAAACCATCAGATGCAAATGAATCACGTGGGCCAGTGGATAAACAGTCATTCCATGGTGTCTGGTCAATCGGAATTGCCGGGCTCTTAAATGTTATGTCTCTAAATTCTTCTGGAAAACTTGTAAGGTTCTCCTGAGGTGCATAGTCACTGAAAGTGGCAAAGAAATCCTCTTTTTCAGAGTTTTTGGAAGAATGATCAGAGCTATAGTGCATCCTGAAAGGTTGTCTTTGAACATGAAGAGAATTTGTAGCGTGTAGAGGAGCAACATCTTCACAGTCCTTTGGCACAGCAAATAAATTCTGCTTCCTCCCTGTAATCACTTCTGAGGAACATGATTTCTTTTGCATATAGCTTGGAAGATCGGAATCACAAAACCCCTGATGATGAATCAGTGGAGGAATTATGGCTTCAGAATTCATACGAGATGTTCCTGGTAGAGAAAACAATGTAACCATTCTGTTTGGAGAATGAAAAATTAGCTTATTTTACAGAAAACTGAGATGCCATTGAGCATTTTGATAGCAGTCTGTCCCCACAGTATAACTGACCTTGCCACGATTAGAAGACGAGGATTCTAATACACTCCAATATTCCATTGGTTTCAAAGGTGACATATTTTTGTAGTAATTGAAGGTATTACCTGTGCTGTTTTATCCCTTACCAAGCAGCTCAGAAGACTGATGATTTTGTTTCTGTTCTGGCCGGAATGTGTTGAAGTTATTCCAGTTTTCTGGGAGTGATGCACCTTTCACTGCTGTTTCTAGTGGAACAGCAGCATTTAGGCTGTATGAAGATGTGATGTCACTAAAACACTGAAACACACCAGAAAAAAAAAGATTCTTGACAGGTGTGCATGTCTACACTGTCAAATATGAGAAGTTAAACCAGTTGTTAGGATTCTAAGATGTATGATCTTTTGTTTACTGGAATTAAAAAAAGACCAATACGAAAGGAGGGGCATGTACAGTAGATAATGTACCACCTGTCTTAAACCTATCAACGGAGGGAGGGAGGAAGGGAGGAAGGAAGGAAGGAAGGAAGGAATTAGCAGGCTTAACATTTTAGACATGCATTAACATATATACTTCTGTATATCATTCATTTTTAAAAGATACCAGCAAATGTGCATATAGCATCACATAACCCCTCCCTGTATTACAACAGTGCAAAAAGATTGATCTAATACATCAATTAATTTTAGCAAACCTTTAAAACTTTTTTTGGAACCTCTGGCAGAAGTTCCTGAAGTTGATCAAAGCTTGCAAGAAACCACCTGTTCAGCGAAGATCCCTTCTTTAACATAATCTGAGCAACCAGAGGGTTGATACATGGGAAAGTAAGCAGGCATTTCTCTGTCTGGAAATAGAAATTATTCTGTTAGATAGATATCTGACCAACTTATTTTCCTTTGTTTCTGCAGAATGACAACCCTATGAATATGTCATATAGTATTTCATAGAAATACAGCTTTCAAACAGTGCACTTCTATAGCCAGATGATTTTTTTAAACTACAAATGTAACAGTGTATCCTTTTTGCAAAAGATGAAGTTCTGCATAATAGTTTGATAAAAAGCAAGCACAGTCGAAAATGGTTTCTGTTCTACGGTATGAAAGCAATGAATCACGTAAACTTGATTTGAGAACGCATTACCAGATTTATCGTTTATTCTCCATTTTAAAGAGAACTACCTAAGTCAAGATAAACTGACAAAGCTGGTTTTGTTTTACAGGAGTTACATTTGTAAACAGCAATGAGAGAGGTGCCAAAAGCAGGAGTTGCTAGGAGAAGGTTGGATGTCACACAGAGGGCAGCAAGTGGAGAGCTGTAGTGTTTTAAGAATGTCAGCTTCCTGGCTTTCAGAAGGCTCTGCTCTCAACAGATGCCAGGTTCTAATACCTTTGACAAAATACCATCAGTGACTCCTCTCAGTTTTTTACCGGTATCCTTAATCTCTAAATTGGAAGACCTATCATCCAATATCCCACAACTGAAAGGCCATGTCAATACCTGCTTTAAAATGTTTCTGAATTCTGCAAAAACCCAGAAGGATCTCGGCTTTACCAGAGTTCAAAGCTTCCACATAAGTTGAACATATCTATATGTTTAATTGGAAAACCCTGATGTACAAGTGAAAGAACCCATCCATTTGACTGTGACTGACAGACCTCTTCCAGCATGTACTGTAAATACCCAATGACAACTACTGCATAACGAGTTAAACACATTTCTACTATCTTGTATTAAAGCAAATGTGTAAGCAACGCCATGACTTCCCGCCCAAGTGAGCCATTGTATGTTTATCTTTTACAATTTGGATAGTTTTTTAAACTTAGTGCACACTGGACAGCAGGTGCAGAGGATAAACTTCTCTACTGGTTAATTGTGAAAGCGTGGGAAAAGTCCAAGTTACACCTGCGGGTGCTGGCAAGGATGACAGAAGCATTATGTATATATGCGTATGTATAAACATACATATTTGTGTATATATATTTATAAAATAATGCTTTTTAAAATAATATATTTTCGGAGAACAATTAAAAAAAAAAAGCCTACAACTTCATGAGTCTGAGACACAAGAAGAAAACTCTGTAATCTAATGGAAAGATAAGCAAACCTCAGATGGCAAGACAGAAAGCCAGGATTTGTCCAACCACTCATGAGGACTGACATGAGATGCTATCAAAATTTTGTCCGCAATCTGACGAATTACCAGTGCTGTCTCTTCAAGCCCTGGCATAAGGACTACCTAAAAGTGATACATAACACATTTGGTTAAAACTTATCCTAAGGAATGTCTTAGTTTGCTACAGAAGTTAAATGGGAAAGCTTAAAGGTGACCCTGAACACAACAGCTGGTAACGTGGGGTAATTAAACCCGATCCATGCATATCTTGTGGCAGAACTCTTGCATCTGACCACTAGCCTGGCTATTACATTCCTGATTCATGCAAATCCCTGGTATGTGAAATTAGTTTATCCTGTAGGTCTTTTACACGTGGTCGAGTTTATGGGTATAATATGAGTTCCTAAACCAGGTCATTCTGAGATGCCTAATAGAGCTTAAGAAGATGTGTAACAGTTCAAAGGTATGTCATTTTTGCATGAACTGCACTGCCGACTACATGGAATGAAAAATATTTGCCCTCTCTTTAACCTTCATTTAACCAGATAAATTTGAAACAAATTTTAATATGCAAATAAGTAAAAAAAAAGCCTAAAAAGATGTTACTTCATGCAAAAGAAATAAGTTACAGGCATCAACCTGGTAAGCCAAATGACAGTTCTGTCCTACTTTTTAATGCTGATTATTCTAGATACTGCATTTTCTGATTTATAATGAAAAATGTTAATTTATCTTGCCACATAAAAAAGGGCAAACTACTTGACAGCAGTCAAAATCACACTTTCTTGTCTTCTACTACATTAGTAACATAGTATTAATCTGAAGCTTCAAATGAAGATATAAGTAGGATACACATTCTACTAATTTATAAATTGGAAGTACAATCTCATATCTCGACTCTTAGTCATAAGAATTTGAATCTGATTCAACTTGTACTGGAGTCAGCACAGTCTTTTCACTGTCTTCAGCAGCAGTGAATTAAGGTCCTCTCTTATTTTAATACTATTGAGCTATTTAATGTTTTCAATGTAGAATGCATACTTGATTAAGCACTTCAGAAATATCATACGGGAAAGTTACAACAGAAAGGTTGTAACCAAAAAAATTACCTTCACTTCAAACTCTTCTGACTTCTGTGTAAGTTCAATTAGACTGGCATAAATTAAGACAAGGTTAAGCAGAGTATGTCCCCTGAGACTGTACCTATAAAACAGTTCATTGGACTGTTAATATTTAATATGCATATGTAATAGTTCCAAAACATTTGTTCCATGTGTTAATAAATGTCTGTTTCATCTCTGGAATTCAGAATACTAGTACAGTTTGAGCCTTAACATCTACAAAAGGAGAACTAGGACACATGAAGTGACTGAGTGTTGAAGGATGCACTGTGAGGAAGAAAATGGAGTCAGCCCATGGCAAAGCAAGGCTGGCCTGAAGCAAAAGGACTGGATCGGGGTCAGTCACTGGATAAAAAACAGAGAGAGAGGAAAGGTGATGCGTGGAAAATTTACCACTTGCTCATAGGAGAAAATCTCACAATAGGAAATAAAGGAATGGTTATGAACTATAACAGCAAAAGCTGTGCTTCCATGGCAAAAGGAGAACTACTGACGGATTGGAAGAACACTTGAAGAATGCCTCCCTGTTGCAAAGGATATACAGTGATGCTAACACAGTAATTCATAACCATGTATTTGCGGGGGTTAATTTAACTCAGTTATAAAGAATAATTCCAGTGGTTGACATCCTTAGTTCTTGTGAAATTTCTGGATCTGCTGATTTGGAATACACCTTGTAAGCATTACCCACCTCAAATACTGTTACTTATAACAACCATTTCTTTATCTCCTGTGTAAGTCTAAAAGGATCCCAATATATAAAAAACATCTTTGCTAACTTTTCTGGGGACTCCAGTGATCACTGTTAGTTCTATCATTCCACTGAGTAGGAGCATGACAACACTGTAGCTAAATGAAAAGTCCAAAGTACCTTAGAAATATGAGCTTAGGGTATTTAATTGTTCTACGAAAAAGTGTTCCCACAGAGAAATTCAAAGAACAAAGAGTGTTAGCTTGTTCTAATAAGCAGCTTTCTTTGGTGACAAATTTGTTTAAAAATACCAACAGAACAAAAGAACTGCATAACTTACTCTAAACTCAGTCTTTCTCTGGAATAGAAAACAATCCAACAGCATGTATATTGGAGTGATAGTGCCATCAGCTTCAATATTACACTGTCACAGGATTCCTCATAATTTAGTTCTTCCATACTCTAAATAAAGTTAATATAAAAAGTAAAACCTAAATAAACATATTACCACAGCTGTCACAAGCTTTTAATATGCATCGTTGTATTATGCAGAACTTAGATCAAACAGAAATACAGCTAAGCAATGTAAGTATTAAAGACACATCTTGGAGTCAGAAAAACTAGGTTGTATTCCCAAATTTGATTTTGTTTGACCTTGACTAAGCCGATCTACTGCTTCACGCCTCTTTTTCCCTCCTCTAAAAAGGAAACAATGCTACTAACTTTTTAGAATGTTCTTAACGTTACCAAGAACTTTATAATGCACAGTACTGTTATAAACCTCTTAAGTACTTAACCCATAGAGATAATGTTATACGTACACTGAGCATCTGAAGTACATCACCAGTTGCAGCAGCATTCACAGTAGCATTTGCAGTAGCCTGTAGGCATGCCTGTGTTGTGCTTGCAGTACTAATTGATTATTTTATACTTTATCTATCTTTCAGTAGCTGTTCTTCTATCTGTAAAGTCATCTGCCTTGCTGCATCCCAGAATTTACGTATTATGCTATTGTCTAAACTATTACTTTTTATTCTCTAGACTAATTCAGATAACTCTGAAATGGGTGGAGTTAACATGCAGAGTAGTAAGAGAATATAGTCACAGATACATTTCATTGGTTATCACAATATTCCTTTTTGCAGCCATATTTTCACGTATGCATCCTTTAACCGTATTTAATATAATCAAATCTCAGGTCAAATGTTATAATTCTGTGAAGAAATGGTAGGTTCAGACATGAGAACATTTTAAACTAGTCAAACCGGCACAGACAGAATGAATTTGGACATGATTTGTGTCATGAAACAATGCATGAAATAAATAGGATTATGAGGAATAAGAGGTATCTTAGAAGGCTGCAGATACGGCCTAGAAGTGACCCAATGCACAGCAGAATTTGGACATACTAGTTTCATGTTGTACCTGCAAAAATATAGCAGTACATTCATCTATTGTCAGCACAACGTATCGATCTGTATTTCCAGAGAGCCTTAAGGAGTAACCACTGCTTCTTTCAACAAAGGTAATGCTGTACCTGAAGAAGTCAAATTATTTTATTAAATCTCAGTTTAGTAAAATAATAATATTTTCTTAAAGGAAATGGATAACACATCTCAACATGATTTTTAAAATTAAAGTCTTTTCATACCTTGATCTTTCTTAAATGCTCAAATTCACTTTAAGATGCATTCAAAGAATACACAACAATATAGGAGTAGCTTAATGAAATATTAATGGATTAATTCAATTACGTTGCTAACTGCACTGAATATGACCTTGACAGCCTTTGATTTTACAAAAAAGAGACGTAATACAGAAACAAAGATAGATAAATCAAGAAAATATACTTAGTTACACTTTCTGAGTAATGAAGTGTATATTGCATTTCTTTTCTTCTTTACATGATTGTGCAGCACAGGGAAAGCAAACTGAGTGAAAACTCCCTGACCACCCCTGGTATGATCCCAGATTTTTCTGAGGGAATGAGAACCTGTCACCAGCTGTGTTAGCAGACTCACTGAATGAATGTCACATGCGTAGGGCATTTGGGGGTCCTTGGCTGACTAAAGGGGGGCAGTTGACAGGACACAGTCATCACCCTACTTGGCCTCATTCCTAGGAAACACAGGTGACCTAAACCTGAATCTGCCAGCAGGAAGTCCTCTAGAAACTTGTATGCACAGTGTATTCAGACATTAACAAAAGAGTGAGCTATAAGCTTTTCTGGAACTATATAGCTCTTTGCTCACATATTTAATTACTTCAGTTCTAAAAGGAGCTAATGAGAGAGTACCAAAAAGCATTCCTGGCTATTTAGCGTATAGCCGGGCTGAGCAGAGAATTTGAATATGCCAGAGTTTAAAAGTGCATGTCAAATTACATGTTCAAATTTTAAACACCAAGCATATGATTTTTTTTTTTCCTATTGAACTGCAATTAGACACAGCTCAAAAATGGCTTCACAGCTGACTGTGATACAGCAAGGATCAAAACTGGCCCATCTCTTCAGCAACATGGTGAAATCAACCATCAGTATCTCTGGCACTATGTTTAAAAGATGCTACTGCTCTGCCCTCTATTTACTTCTTATTTTTTTTCTTTCCTCCCATGATAAAAGGTACTTTCATCAGGTATTTATTATTGTGAAAGCAAAATACTAGAGAATTATGTCAAAGAAAATGCACATGTGCAATGATTTACAAATATAATTTTTGTGCAGGTTAAAGAGCCTTTGCACTTAAGTGAATATTAGATCTGAATTTTAAAAACAAAGTAGATTTTGGTTTTAACTTAGCCTCTCCCAAAAGCTGTGATGCATCAGAAAATAAGACTGTTTTACTGTTGTTTGGTTTGGCTTTTTTCGTACAGCTCCAGTAGTTAAAAACCAAAAAATCCCAAACCAATTTTTATGAAGTATTAAATATGGAGTCTTCCAAGCACCAAGAAGCACTAAAGCAAAAAAAGTTTTGGGGTAACATGATTTTCTGGGAAAAACAGATAATTAAAGAAGTTGTTTTGATTAAGAGTGCCAGCTCATTGTTAAAATAAACAAATTGGGCCAATACCATTCTAGTTGACATTTGTGTGATTCTATAGAATTAAGCTATCAACTTCAGCAGAAAAATTGTCTCTTAAATTCGAATAGTGTAATTGCAGTAAGGTACCTGATAGCTGAGTAGATGGTTACTGCATGATATACTAGGATGAGATACATGTCCTGGAAAACTGAAAACAATCAGTAGGATTAAATAGGTTATTTTCACTCACTTGGATTCCAAAAGCTGAAGAAGATCTGGCATCTTAAGAAGACCTTCAGTTGTCAAAAACACATACGGAATCTGTACCTCCAGCAGAAAGGAGCCACAGTAATTCCCTGAAACGTTTTGTATATGTAAGATAATAGTTTCATAACAAAAAAACCTTAAAAGATACATTTAGGTATTTAAACAGACATATCTTTTTTAAAATGCAGCTTTTATTCATCCCCTTAAAATGCTTCCATTATATGCTGTTTTTTTCAAAATTAAACTCTTCTGAATCTCTTAGAAATTAAGCTTTAATTTATATTCCTTTAGATCTACAACATTCCCTTAGGATGAGGAAGGGTGGATACCACTTGTCATAACTGTAAACAACCTGTGAACTTGCACAAGTCTTTTATCAACCGATGTTTACGGCTACATCCTGGCCAAAACTCAGCTCTTGCACTAAGAAAAACACCTTCCCATCTTGCTGTACAGATAAACCAGCTCTGTTCCTTCAGCCTTAGCACTTATAACTTATTACTCATTGCCTTCCACAGGCACATGAAGAAGGAACAGAAAATGCTCTCCTTTCATATGCCAGCCCAATTGTTTATTACAGTTCTGGAGGGCACTTACCCATTTGTATTGTTTCAGGGAGGGTGGTTTTAAAAGTCATGTAAGTAACATTCAGGTTTTTGCACAGATTTTTCCAGCAAGAATTTTCAGAATAATCATATTCCACTACTAATGAAAAGTGTGTCCAAGGGAAGTCAGCTCCAATTTGCTGATTATGTACAATAAGACAGGAATATCTACTGAAGCTTAAAAAACCAACAAAGTATTAGTAACATTAAGTTCAGGTAGAATTACCCTCAGAAAAAAATAAACACAGTTTTTACTTTGAAGAATTATCACTATTTTAAGTATTTTCAAAAAGTATGTACCCTTTCTGAATTTAAAACTGTAATTTCTTTAAAAATTAACTTAAAGATCAAAAGCTTTACTTCCCCCCC